CCTCCATTCTCACTGTTATTCTCCCATTCATCGCCGTCGCTGCCATGGTAACCTTCTCTCTCAATGTTGTATGCTCGATTTTGTTCTTCGATTCTTCATCTCTTAATGTTTGATCTTATCAAGTTACCGTATGGTGATCCTCTCTCTCAATTTTACTGTATGTTTAAATGTGTGTTGGCACCTATCTACCAGCTCAAAATCACTAGTTACTGTATGTGGATGTGGAAGTTGTGGATTCTGGTGTTCACATTTTAAATTACAGATGGGCTTGTTGGACAAGCAGCGATTTCTCCGCCGCCGTAATAACCGTACAATTACCGCAAAAACAGTGCTCCAATCCCTCCGTCTATCCTTCTTTCTGCTAAGATTATGCAGAAACCACTCATACAGAGGCAAAATGACTCCCAGTGTTTTCGTCTCAATAACCTTCTCCAGACTTGTTTAGCCGCCACACAATCTCGGACAACATGTAAAGTATCCTCCTCTCTTTCCATGCAAATCAAAGACGCTGGGAAAGTATTCAAAAATTTGTTCCTTCTAGCCGAGGTTAAGAAAACCGTCATTAATGGCAACCGTAAAAATGGCAATCGAACAGTGTATTCTTCTTGGTCCGTTCCACTCCCAAATCCTTTTCCAAAGTACATCTGCCCCTGCTCTATCAAATCTTTTAAGCAATTCTACATATATATCCGATACTAGGTATTTACCATGAGAGTTAACCAGCCACTTGATTGTATCCTCTGTGTCCTCTGGCCTTGGAGGTAAGCCATGTGTATTTTTGTTACCTGTCAACCGTATATAAATTCTTAAATTACGATACTGCTCGAAATCGCATTTGTGAACCGTACATAATTTTTTTCCCCTTTTTTGGATCAAAGCATTCAAATTCTTTTTTTTTTAATCAAACTATATAAATTCTATTTTTCCCTCTTTTTTCCCCTTCATATATTATGGTTCTATTTTTCCATCTGTGTATTGGCTTTTGTGCATACTCTGGTTTGACATCGAGTCTAGACTTGATTACGGGGGCGGACACTATCCCAAGTTCCCCTTTTTTTCCCCAAAGAAATTTATAACTGGTGAAGTACTATTAAGGCGATTTAAACTAGCCTGTGCATCACACGACGTCTGTTTTTTTTTTTTTTTTTACACTGAGTATTGAGGAAAGGAATTCAAGGTGATTGCGGATTCCGCTGTGACCTATTAGAAACCAAAACTTCACTGACCCGCCGCTTTGTAAATTCTCACTGGGATAGATTTATTATGTGCCTCATGTTTGAATTGCAAAATAAATAAATATTTCATCTTGCTCCTTACCTTGGGGGGGGGGGGAGGAGATGTGTCTCTGGTGCTTATGTTTACGCTATTAGATTGTGGAATGACAACTATCATGTACAGTAATTCGTTGTTGGGAAGGGGGGGGGATCCTCTGCTGTTGTTATTTTTTCTCTTTTACCTTGTGAGGAAGGAGATCAGTTCAAATAATAATGTGATGGTTTTCACATTTTTAACTATCTATGGCTTATTTATTCGTGTTGTCTGAGTTAAAAGTTTCACTGTTCTGTTATTAACCAGCAAATCAGCATTTGGAATCACATTCTAGTTGATTATACTCGAAAGTCAAAATCTGAAACTTAAAACATGAGGAACTGTCTGCAGGTATTGATCCCTTCATGCCCATCATCCTTTAAAAATAACCTTTCTATTCTGCACCAAGTCCCGGAAGGCCATGTGGGCGTATACTGGAGAGGAGGTGCTCTTCTGAAGACAATTACAGAACCAGGTTATAGTTTGCTTCTTGATTCTTGTTGTTGCTGTTGTTTTTCTTCGGCATCCATTGGCCCAGAGTTTGATTTATGTTCTTGGTGCTAAATCTCCTAGGTTTTCACTTAAAGATGCCTTTCATAACACAGTATGAGCCTGTTCAAGTGACACTCAAGACAAATATGGTAAATTGTTTAGAGCAGTTTCTAAAATTGTGGTTTCACTTGGCAAATGGCACAGTAAGTTGAATTATTATTGCAACAATTGCAGGTGACAGCTATACTGTGTGGAACTAAAGGAGGTGTCATGATCATTTTTGAGAAGATAGAGGTAAATATCGGTAACATAATTCATTGGCTGATCTTATTTTTTGCTTTATTAAATTTAAAATTTAAGTGCAATGATTTTTACTGTCACCGTTATTGTTCAATTAAGGTTGTAAACCGACTTCATAAGGAATATGTCTATGAGACATTGCTCAATTATGGGATGCATTATGACAAGATATGGATATGTGACAAGATTCATCATGAGATTAATCAGTTTTGCAGTTCTCGTAGTTTTCAACAGGTCTATATTGATGATTTTGCTCAGGTAAAAGTTTTAAGCGTCTCTTTCGTTTGGGTAATCTGATCAGGGAAAAGTAAACGCTTCAAAAATGTATCTTTTATTGCTATAGTTAATTATTACAGTCGCTTTCATTTACGGGTAACCTGAACACTACAAGCAATATGACACGCTCATTTGATGATCATTTAGGGATTGAGTTCTAGATTCATTGTGGTATTTTAGATCAGTGACTGTACCAAGTATAATCTGTCTTCAAGATTTTTCGTCTTTCTTATGATGATTACATGCTAACATTTGTGATGGCAACACGACTGTTTTGGTTCATTCAGATTGGTAACAAGATGAAAGACGCTCTTCAAGCTGATTGCACCCGTTATGCTCCAGGCATTGAATTTATCAGTGTCCGCGTCACAAAACCAACCATTCCAGATAGCATCACACACAACTTCGAGCAAATGGAAGAGGAACGCTCTAAGGTAGCGTTTTGGCTCGATTTCTTTCTTTCTAAAATAATCTTTTCTCTTTTGGCCACATTTCTAAAATTGCTATTGAGCATGTTTTTGGTTGTGTCGGATAGGTCTTAGTTGTTACTGAAAGACAGAAAGTAGCTGAGAAGGAGGCAGAGACTGCGAAGAAGGTGGCTATTAGTGAGGCTGAGAAAAATGCCAGTGTTAGCGAGATCCTTAGGGGGCAGAAGTTGGCGGAAAAAGAAGCTTCTGGGCTCCAGCAACAAATTGAGAACCGTATGTACCTAGAACGCGAGAAGACGCTGGCAGATGCGTATTTCTACCGGTGAGTTTTGCTATATTCCCTTGAACAAAAGTTGATTAACACAACACAAGTAATTCATCCTGCTAGAGCAAAGAAATGATTGATGGCATTGGTTTTCCTTTTCCCCTTTCAATTTCAAGGGCAACAAAAGAGGCTGAAGCAAACAGGTTGATGCTTACCCCAAAATTTCTCGTGCTTAAATTCATCGAAGCCACTGCTAATAATACGAAGACAAGCTCTGGGGAATAAGATGTCTCGCCTCTGTCCATTCCTCGTTGCCCTGTTTCAAGGTCTACTCTCGTCTAGATTTTTCCTCGGCCTCGAGCGGCGTTAAATAGGATTTTTTTTTAATCACAGGCTACTCCAAAATGTCTGGGAAAACGCGTTTATTGAGACATTTGAGAAAGAGAGTTGCACTATTTATGAGGCATTCTTGCTGGGCTTGATAAGAGCTAACAGGATGATATGTATTATAATGTTGTACGATGTAATGTTTGGTTTGTTGTTATAAGTGCATGTTTGGATCTGCTTGCACGAGTAACTTGAAAGACGAAGTACTCTTATTCTGTGAATCGATTAAAAAGCTACTTAATTAATTCCAAGTAGGCCACAATTGTCGTGCAATGAAGATCATGTGAATGATGCAAAATGTTAACGAACCGTGAACAGGAAGTTGCTGCAGCCTGTAAAGATAAAAAGAAGATCGAGAGCAAAGGAGAGAGGAGGTTAGGCACGGAGGAGGGAGAGGAAAGGAGAAGGGATGACAGAGGGAACACACCTGAGTTGGATGACGGCAGTGAGCAAGAGACGGAGCGCAACTGCAAGAAAGGTCAGAAACCCAAGTAATCGTGAAACTCCGAGTGTGGGGAGAATTCAGTTGTTACCATAAATACATGAGCAAATAAATAGGGATGTCCCAGGAAGGGACGTTTCGAAGATTATCCTGAATCCGTCCCTGGCCCAATTTTATTCATATCGTCCGGTTATTAATACTATCTCCTTCTCTTGTAATAAAAGTAGTTGAATAATTTAAATAGATTAAAAAAATTAATTAAATTAATTAATTATAATAAATATGTATTGTTTTTTTTAAATATTTTTATTAATTAAGTGTTATTTGATGAAACATGTGATACATGTTATTACTATAAAAAATACTTTTAAAAAAATAAATAAATATAAAAAGTAAAATAAATTGAGTATTATAACTAGTTTTAATATTAAGTAAGAAGGTAATATCAGAGAGTGTCGTGAGAATCCGCTCCATAGAAAGTCGCGGGTTCATTGCTCCAAAAGCCTCCGCTCTTGTAGTTGTAGAGTCAGGGGATGGACGGTGTGTTTTTGTCAAAGTGATTTTTGTCATAGTTTTATCAAACAAAATGGTAACTTTATTTGCTATGATTTCATTAATTTTTCTTCTAGTTTGGATAAAAAAAAGCACCAGGATCGTACCGTCAAAGAGACGCTTCATGGTGAAAAATATTAGGCGCATTTAGAATTATCAATAGAATGTGCGAGAATTCAGGCCAAAAAAAAAAAAGTGCGAGAATCGTCTCCATAGAAATAGTTGGCATCGGCGAAAAGAAACCACTAAAAAGATATAGCTTGATATAAATGGTTGTGACATATAAGATCATGAACCTACTTCTTGTTGCTTACCTGCTTTCTATTATGTTTATTCTACTGCAATGAAGCTGTAGCATTAAAATTATCATATTTTAAACAGTTTTGGGGGAATGCTGAAGATTCTTTCTCATAAAGTTTAAGGTTTGTTACTGTGATTGGGATGCCCATTTTGTCCTTGTTTGTACTTGTACTGTGTTCAGCTAATGATGGCCCGCCACTTTATTTTTGATGACGTGCTTGTGGAAGCAAACTGCGTTGTGTTTTTATCTTTGCGTCCTTGATTTCGCCTCCTCCTTGCTCTTCGTTTTAACATAACAGCCTAGACTTTTCTTTTGCTGTTTTCGCTTGATAATCAACGGATTCTGAGATGGAAGGGGTTTCTTCAATTTCAATTTTCAGTCTCTCCCTTCGTGTAAGTGTCGTCGTCATAAGCCAAGTCACTTATAAACAATCAAAACTTCTGTCCATCTAAACTATCTTATTCGTTTGTTCCCCCATTTTTTAACTGTTGAACAACCGAATTTTATTCTGTTGTGGACTTGCTTTTGCTTTCAACTGCCAACCCGTTTCAACGTGTCGATGAATGTCTTTTGCTTCTGCGGCTTATAATGGATGGTTTCGGAGACAATAGGAACCTTTTGCAGGTAATGATCATCATTTCTGTTTCCCCTATTTATTATCTCTGCGAGGTTGATTTGATTTATAGATGGGTCTCACATTTGTCACTGCTTCCGGTTCGAGGAAATTAATCTCAACCTTTCCTGGAGGATTTCCATCTTTATTTCAGCCTTTCATTTCCTCAAATTTCTGCCTTAGACCATGCGTGTGAATTCGTCGACGGGGCCTTGTTAACATTCTTGCATCGTCTGGTGGGGGGAAAAAAAAGAAAAAGAAAAAATAAGAATAATATTAAAAAGCTTTGTCTTTATGCATTCTGTTAATAGCTTGTCATTTTCATATTTGGCTGTTAGTGGGTTTTGATGAAATTTTCTTCCAGGATTTCTCTGAATATTTCTTCTTGATTGCTTCACAATGGGAAAGGGATTTGAGTTCTGGGTTGAAAATGTACTTGGTGGGGAGCAAGGTTGGAGCCATACTGTGTATGCTGTTGGCCCTTTTCTTCTTGGGGACATGGCCTGCTATTATTACTCTTTTAGAAAGGAGAGGGCGTCTTCCTCAGCACACTTACCTTGACTACACAATCACCAATCTATTGGCTGCTGTACTCATTGCTCTCACTTTTGGTGAGATTGGCAAGAGCACCCCTGATAAACCAAATTTCATTGATCAGCTTTATCAGGTGGATATTCATTGTATTCAAAGTAGCATCGTGTAGAAAAATTACAGAAGTTGGGTAGGCTGTTCTTGTTTCAAGGCAAGCTGCGTCACAATTGGATGACTCTAATCCTGAAGAATCACTAGCAGGAATTGAACTAAAAGTCCTTTGATTTAGGAACAAGTGTCCGTATGAAATAACTTTGACATTCTTAATTGAGTGATTGTTATGATAATGCTTGCATGTGGATTGTGATTACGTCGATCGTTATGTATGGCCTGGTGTTTGTAATGAAGAAAAAGCTTACATGACGATGCCTAAAACCTAGATATAACTTGTATGGTTTATTGATAATGAACGTCTTAAACATATCAATATCCTAAAAATGATATTAAGGTTCTTCTAACCCTATGTACTTAGTTTACTATGAACTGTCTTTGACACTGCATTGCATATTATTGCTCACAATTGGGTTATGATTTGCAAAGGCGTTCTGTGATAGGATAACTGGCCCTCTGTTCTGTTTGCAATGGCCAGTGGTGTTGTACTTAGCATTGGGAATTTGTTCACGCAATATGCTTTGGCTTTGGTTGGTTTATCAGTTGCGGAGGTGGTATCAGCAAGCATAACTGTTGTCATAGGTATTGTGCCCTCATACCCCCTAAAGAAGAAACATTTAAAAAGGGTAGAAATGAAAGGAATCACTTGTCTTATGGGTATAACGGGCCTAATTTCCACTTCCAACATTTGTGCCAGAAGGCTTAAATTTGAGCCCTTTCTACCAGGCCAATAAGTTTTGAGGCAACCCTTCCATGAATAAATATGCATGTAAGAATATGAGTGTGCACGAGCCATGCATTCAACGAAAGTTTCTGAACCTCTAAATATATGCAGCTTGCTCAAGTACTGAATTTCCCCGCACTTTCTCTGTCTACTGTAACAGGCACAACTTTGAATTACTTCTTGGATGATGGGATCAATAGAGCTCAGATTCTTTTCCCAGGAGTTGGTTGCTTTTTTATTGCAGTTTGTCTTGGTTCAGCCGTGCATTCATCTAACATTTCGGATGATGAAGCCAAGCTCAACAATTTGTCAGATGAATGCAAAGATGGAGCCATGTATGTCTTTATTTACCTCTGTATATGGATGCCACTAAGTATAGGCGTTAAAATTATATCATTAATGCCACTAACTGAATCAGTATATCTACTTGTTTTTAATCCTCTAAACTTGCTTCTATTATTTTGCCTTCTTTCATCCGCTGTTTTACTTTGTTAGGTTGTAAAAGATGATATCACAAGAAATGCTTGAGCTTGGATGCATTTATTTAGTTGAGAACATGTGGTAGCATCAAGCCGAATGTGGTAGCATACTTATAGGATCTCCCAGGTAGGGGATATAGATTTGGGCAAAACTAAAGTACGTCCCTGACTGTAATACCAAAATGAGAGAGGACGTGCTGAATTGTCTTTGCTATTATGTAAACTCTAAATAAGCTAAACTTCTTAATAAAACGACGGAAGAGTAAGCCAAGCTTGCCTCCATTTCAATTAATGTTAGAAGCAATCCACCAAAATAAAGTAATATCTTATTCCTCTCCGTTTTCAAAAAGAAATTGAGTTCAGAAACACCATCATATCAGTTGATCTGGTGATGTTAACTACCCATCTTTTTGTACTACTTTTAGGGGCTTATGTTTTTGCAAGCATAGGCAGTTCATTAGGTTTTCTTTTTGACTTGGTGGGGGATCCAATGTATGCTGAGATCAATTCTGGGCAAGGGAAGGAGGAGAAGAGGAGATTGGAACCCCAACCCATGCAGCCATTGTAGCTTTTTGAGCGCTGATTTAGCTCTAGTTTATGATTCTGCCAATTATTATCCTCAATGGACGATAGCATCCAGCTGTTTTACATGTGCTGAAATGTTCAATAGTATTTATAAATGTTATTATTCTTGTGTCTTCTTTCTCATCTACTGTCACCAATATGTTGTTGATTTTGCCTCCAAATTTTGTTCTTTCGCCAGATTAATTAACATTTCTTCCGAAAAAGAAATAAGTGGAGGTAAGAAGGTCTGATCCAGTGAAATTTACACTCTTTTGGTGTCATTTCAGTCACGAAATGCTACATTTATCCTTTTTACTTTGAGAATCTGTAGTTAAATCCAAGGATATAGAGAGTGGAGGAGGTGGTTCAGTAGACACGGCAAAAGCAGGAACGGCCGCTTTTCTTGTAGAGCTTGAGAAGCAAAGAGCTATCAAGGCAGGTGTTTTTCATTTATCGCAGATGTATTTAGAATAATATTTAGGTAAAGTTTATTATGTATTTTATCAAAATTTCCAATAAAATTATACTTATTTTATCAAAATTTCCAATAAAATTATACACTTTGGCCGTTTATGGACACTTATCACACCAATCACTAATAAACATGCATATACGTGTATATGTGCTAGACGAGTTCTGATGAAGAGGGTGCTCAAGATGTATATGTTATTCACCATTTGCTCGAACTACCTGAGAATTTTCTTGAACTCTAAAATTAATTCCCCTCCAAGGTATTACACTTTCAACTTTTGCTGCAGGTTTTTGGGAAGAGTACTTTCGTCGGATTGGCCATAACGTTCTTTGCTGGACTTTGCTTCTCTTTATTCTCACCGTTATTTAACTTGGCAACGAACGACCAGTGGCATGCTTTAAAGGAAGGGGTTCCTCATTTGACTGTTTATACTTCCTTCTTCTACTTCTCTGTCTCCAGTTTTGTTATTGCCGTTGTTCTAAACATCACCTTCCTTTACCAACCCATCTTAAATTTACCCAAGTCATCTTTCAAGGCTTATTTGGCAGACTGGCACGGCAGAGGCTGGGCCTTGTTGGCTGGTCTCCTTTGTGGACTTGGCAATGGTCTCCAATTCATGGGTGGTCAAGCTGCAGGATATGCAGCAGCAGATGCTGTTCAGGTGATTTTCTTTAATGTTTTACAAAGAGTGAAAATATAGTATTCTGTCGGGACCTATTTGGTACCTAGAATAACAGAATTATATAGCATAGATGAAACATAGAAACATGGGCAAGTCCTAGTCTTGTACGCTTGAAGTTGAGCCATTAACTAACCTTGGGCTACAGTCCAAAAATAAAAACTTGTTATGCTTTATCCCTCACTAGGCCTTGGCACATGAACAATCGTGCTTGTTTTTTTCTTTTTAATCATAATGCAACAAGGATTCTTTTTAAGGGCAATTACTGTGAGGTCTTAAGGAAAGAATATAATTATCAAAAAGTCTTAATAACAAGTGAGCAGCATGGATCTTCTTGTTTTTTCTTGTACTAGAAATTGTCATTCACTTGTTATGGGATTTTTTGGCAATTGCATTTCTTCCTTGGAACCATGTAATGAATTTCCCTACTTCTTATAAGACAATAACCATGATTGAATTTGGATGAGCAGGCACTTCCACTAGTGAGCACGTTTTGGGGCATTGTTTTGTTTGGGGAGTTTCGGAACTCATCAGGAAGAACATATATACTGCTTGGGAGCATGTTGTCTATGTTTGTAGTGGCTGTTGCTGTACTCATGGCATCATCGGGTCAAAGGATTAATGATCCATTAACAACACACAAATTGGTTGTAAATAATTGATGGTTGCATAAATGATGGATTCAGCACACAGCAATAGTCAAAGGATAAGCATGCATGTGCCTTCCCTAAAGTTTGCTTCGAAGATGCAAAATGGGCACAAGCACCATAGTTTTAGACTACAATAGCTGTTCTTGTCCCAAAAAAGAAATACAAAAAAAGAAGCAAAAAAACAAGGTGGAAGAAAGATAATACCGTACTATAATAGATGTCATGTGCCTAGAGTGAATTACTCAGTGTTCGTTATCCTTATTGAGTCAACGAAAAGTGTGCATAAGCAGGAATCATGAAGTGAACGGGTTTGAAATCCTTTGATTGAACCTTGTATGTTGTTCTACTTCTAGGGTTCGGGTTTGCAACCCTGTGCAAAATGATGTACTTTTAATTTGTATCTTATTTCTTCAATTTCTCTTTGAATAACAAGGTGATGATACAATAACCTAATTAATCAACGTATTCATTGATTTTTTTTTGGGGACAAAAATTCATTGATAATTTTCAGTTGTATGTAATTTTGGAAATTATAAATTCCTAAACAGAATATATAGTGCCTGTTTGGTTGGGTAATTCAGTAGTTCAAAAGTAACTCGTGGATCTGACAAGCACCTTTGCAATCACGCACCTATTTGGTTGAGATTTTAGCCCATTTTATTTATAGGCCGAAAACAATATTAAAAGTATGATCGGCTTTAAGTAGAAAAAAATTACTTATTAACCGTGCTTGCTGTTGGTAAGAACTGTTATAATATAATAATTACTTTGTCCGAAACTATTTTCTCACTCTTCTCTCTTATTCAGCTCCCTCCTTCTCGACTGCAATGAACCACTTTTTATATACTTCTGTCCAAAATTGAAAAAGCAAACGCTCTGGAACTTTCAACAGGAAAAGCATTAATGCATATCCCTAGAAGACATTCAGTTAGGAAAAAGTTTGAAATGTGTGTCTATATTTACATAAGCAATTTATAATTTTTAAAATTATGTTTCGTTTTATATTTATAAACTCTTTTTTTTTAATAATATTTCTAATTTTTTAAAATAAATTTCATTCATTAAATTTCACTTTTTCCTATTAAAATAATTTAAATTTATTATATTACATAAATTCAATTTTTTTTATTTTTCATTATTCAATAAAAGTCACGCTCATTTTAATAATTTTACAAACTAAACTTACTTATTTAATCATAATCCAGATGACTTTTTTATTTTTACCAATGAACTTTTGTAAAATCAAATCTAAACATAAATCTATTACCCAATCTAACTTTCCTAAAAACCAAATTGAAAATAAACTATTTTTCTACCCCCAATCCAAACAAACCCACAAGGATCAAAGAAACAAAGTAACTTTTTTTGTTTTGTTAAAAAATAAACTGCAAAATTCTTAGGTGCATGAAAAATATGGCATTTTTATTTTGTATTTTTGAAGTTTCCTTTCAATTTTTGTGGGGGTTATATTTTTTTCAGTTGCATCTCATTTTTTCAGCATTCACTTAAACATAAGCAAATTACAGTGACGCCAAGTAAAATACGAGGGAAAAAAGTGTAAAGGTGGCTAAATTCAAAGAACAGAATGCCTAATTTCAGGCAGAGGGGCTATCTGCTTTAATTAAAAAAAAAAAAAAAGACAAGTCATTATATTGCAGAGAAGTTTCTGATATTCAAAATCATACCGTAGTAATATAGCATAAATAACATCATATTCTCATCATAAACTCATCAAAACTGAAGAACTAGTCAATTTTTTCCTCCAGTGGATCATAGGTCCAGTTAGCCCTCCAAATAATTGACGGCGATAGAAGCCGTTCAGTTTTCCAACCTGATGACTTGAGCTGCACAATGAATGTATACTTAGTCTTCAAGTTAGTGATGATATATGTGAGCAAGAGTAAATTTGATTTATCCAAAAACCTAAACAAGTACCTTCTGAATAAAAATGTCATACTGATCATCTATCCACAATTGACTCTCTGCATGCAAAGATTTGCTTTTACCACTTTGATTTGCCATAACAATAGCATGAATAAATGACTTCAAGACATTGGCGGCATCCGAATCCTTATGAGTTATGACGTGAATGATCCCCTTCCTTTCCACTAGCAAGTACTTAGCTATATATATAAGCAACGAATGAAGAAGGAGTTAAGAATTCTTTGGAATGTGAAAACTCAGTAGCCAACATAACATATTGGGTCAGCTGAACTGACCTTTTGCATAGTAAGGTGCTGCAGAAAGCAGAGGCTCCAATCTGTTACAAAACGTTATTTTATTGTCAGCAATTCAGCATTATACAGAAATGGAATTTACTAATTGTACTCTCTAATACTGTACAAGAACCAGGTCCTGATCTTGGCTGATCATTTGGCTTGGAGACAACACTAGATGAGGTACACAGAGCCATAGTTAATTTTTTTTTTTTGACTTAATACAAGATTCTGAGGTTTTGTTTGTTTATTATAACACAACAGCAACCTGTTAGGTTTTGAGCTATTGGGAGCAAGAACTAAGAATACAACTCTGTTATCATCCTATATGGAAAATGGGTAATGGTAAAGGCTGGTAATTATGGGGCAAGACAGGAGTTCAGACACAGCACCAACACAGGTATGAGATGATAATACACAAACCAATTGGGCCCCAATGCAATAGATGGAGCTTGAAGAATGAGCCACATTATTCATGACTTGTGAAAAGTGTAACTAACTAAAAGTTTTATAATAATGATGCTTGAGAAAAAGTTTGTTTTCCTCAATTGCAGCCCAAAAAACTGTTGGTCAACGGAAATACTCACGTTTCCTTGTTTTTGAATAAAGAAACCCTTGTGCCCAAACGTACTTGCAGATGCAGTAAATTAGCATTCTTGGAGCTCCATGAAGTAAGTTGTAAGGGTAAGATGTGTTCCAATGACGATACCTGTTCAGGGGTGAGAACTGGCAAAAAGTTCAGAAGCGAGCATCAATACTCAAAAATAAAAGAAATGATATCAAGCTAGCTTTACAGTGCTGGAAACTGTTTTCTCCTTCACAGGCTGCTGAGAATGGTCAATTTGTCCTTATTTTTTAAAGTCCACCACATGGCCTTTGGTGATCCAGATGTTATGCTAAGATTGAAAACGGTAATGCATAACACTTGATGTCGCAGATGTTTTGATCACAGGGTAACAATTGGAATAGAAAACAGACAATACCTTGACCAGTCTTCATGAAATGCTGCAAAAGAATTGAGCTCCTTTCAGGGTTTAGTGAGGTTAATGCAAGGCATCGAACAGCTTGGTAATTTGCTGCACAAAAGAGAAAACTGCTGAATCAGGAGTATTATACAGAGCTGGGGAAAAGCCATACATAGAAATGGGTAGAATTAACTTCAACAGATGAGGCTATCTTCAGATAATATATATATATATATTTTTTTGGTAACATCTTCAGATAATATTGTGCTGAAGTGACCAGACAGTTTTCCCCCACATCAAGAGGGTTTGAACTTTTAATTTCTACCCACACCCCATCCTATTGCCACCTGAGCTAACCCTGGGTGGCTAACCAAATAGTTTTTAAATTATCAATTACCAATTTGCCCCAAAATTTGACGCTAGTAGGAAATGGAGCAATTGCCAATATTAGAACATTCATAACCTCTTTTCTCTCGATGAGGTCCAGATAACAAACAGTTCCACACTTGCTTTTGCATTTTGTTTATCCAGCAAAGCAAGTAGGATTTATTCATAATACTAAACTTTTTTCTTTTTCTTCAGAACTTTAAGACGCAAAAAGAATTGTGTAAAGAAAATTACAACTTAGAAACTTACCAAATACATGGAACAGGGTCAGAGACAAGAAACAAAACCATATGGCTAGTGGTCGTTCCATTGTAATGTGAGCAAGAAGCATACCCAATGCCATGCCAACCATGGTTGCCACTGTTTCTTGACTTCCTTCCTATAGATAAAAGACGATCAATTCTGTCATCCAGAGCAAACGCTCAGATTTTAAAATAAAAGTTAGAATAAAGGCAACTAATACCTTAGCTGATATATCTGCAGCATTATCCTGAAGGGCAAAATGCTGAGTCAGAGCTGCTCTTGTCGCACCACTTGCAACACCAGCTAACCAAGAACATATTTTTAAGGGACATAAATTAAATAAACAATTAGGATCTCATTAAAATTTTCAATCAGAAAAATACTTCTGTTGAAGAGGTTCAATGGTTAGCGCATATTAGATTAATTGAAGTCATTAAATATTTCATCACATAAGATGTCTAATTTGATAAATAAAAATTTTATGAAGAGGGGGAGAAGTGATCATGGAGTAACTGACTTCGTATCAGTGTCTAATTTTAACTTCTGGATAAGTGGGAACTTACTGAACGATCTTGATATACTTCCAAGGCAAACAATAACCACAAAAGCAGATGGAAACAATGGGGAGACAAGGTCCATTAGCATTCCTACAATCCATGCAAAAAGCTTCACAAATCAATGTTAGACATGAAGCATGGATCTGGGAGGTCAGATTAAACACAAACCAGCAAGATGAAAGCTGCACAATAGAAATGTTGCTGGTTTCCCCTAAATAAATAAATAAATAAAAGTAATTGTTTAAGCATAAACGGCCTAGTGTGGTTTTAAGAATGGAAATTATCCCTTGAATAAGAATGTGGAAACAAGTTTATCATATTTAGAGCACTAAAAAGTATGTACCATATTTAAGCCTGTACAAATCCAGAAATGTATTGGCAGTCATATCAATGACTAATACTGTAAAATTATTACGAGCGCTTCATGACCAAACAAGTCATCCGTTTATGCTTCAGGTACAAGAATTGTATAAAGAAATGGGTTCTTCAATTCAAACAAATAATAAAGATGAAAGCACAAGAATTTACCCAGATCATTCATAAGATCTGCAACCAAACGCCACCTTTTTGCATTGCTATCCAGGTTTGACCCCTGCATGTTATCACGTTACTTAGCATCATAGGGAACATGGATTTGAAGTTCAAATCATTTGAAAGTAAAGAACCATCATATGATATAAGCCCATGGCAACCCGAGTGCAATATCCCTCACAGAAGTTACTAACATTCCAATGTTAAATCTCTTCTCTTTATAACTAATTTAGTATGCTTTTCATTCAGTAATAAATAAGGAAGTGAGAGATGCAGACCTGGTAGAATGTGAATAGGATACCTCCAAGCATGCCAGTTAGATCCCTCAAAAACCACTGGAAATAGTTTTAACATTTAGGGGGGGAAAAGTCAACATACTACAGTGTAAGAAACGTAAAAGCTTCTCCCAAGCTCCGTCGCAACTGTTGGAGTTCAGTCAATAATCATGAAATACAAAATGAATGATACGTGGATAAAATTACTTGGGTGTTAGCTATCAAGTTCTCCAATGCTATACGTGAAAATATTAACATGTTGGCAATTTACACCAACTCGACATCACATCA